CCGCCGATGTTGGTAGCAAGCTGGGTTCCTGGGTTCCCGTTTCTGGGCTCCCGGGTTGCTGGTTATTAGTTCTGGGCCGATTTCGGTGGGTTCTGGTTTCCCGGGCTCCCGGGTTCCAGGTCCATCTGTTTAACGAAAATACTCCACTGATTGGGTTTTTTCTATGTTGTAATCGTGTATTGTGACCTTGCGTTGTTCTACAGCGGCGCGTCGGGATTTTCCTTGACACGTCACAAGGCAATGGAGAGTCTGAAACAGCGTCATCCACACCCATCCCCCCATAGAATCCTGGCAAAAACGGTTTTGTGGGTTTTGCCCAGCGGCGGGATGATCAAGCAACGTCATATTTAGACATGGGTCAAGAACTGTCCAACTTATATTTCACATGCAACACAACATCCCGGCGTCTACCAAATCCTGCCCCCAATTCTCATACAAGATTTTTTACACGCGCAGCAACTGTCCAACTATACATACATATATATACACATACATATATATATACATATATATATATATATATATATATATATATATATATATCGGGAGATCTGTGACCTCGGCCTAGGATGCGTCCGCATTCCTCAGTCCGTGCTCACACTTGGAGGGGCTGTCACGTGTGCTTCCCGGCCGCCGTACTCCTGCCGCGGCCTCGCCCGGGGGGCGGCCGTGGGAGCTCCGTGGGCCCCCCTGGCGCTGGCTGGGTCTGCCGGCGCCTCGGCGGGCCGCGCCCCGTCGGCGGCAGACGGTGCCCCGGGGGCGCCCCGCTCCGCCAGCTGCGCCTGCCGAGGCGCCCCCCGGCGGGCGGCAGGGGGCGCCCCGAAGGCGCCCGCGCACGCTGGGCCTGCACACGTTCCACCTGGTGGGCGGCCATGGGCGCCTCGTGGGCGCCCTGCGCGCGGGCTGGAGATGCCGAGGTTTCGCCCAGCGGGCGGCCGTGGGCGCCTCGCGGGAGCCCCGTGCGCTGGCGGGGTCTGACGAGGTTTCGCCTGGAGGGCGGCCGTGGTCGCCTCGTGGGCTCTTCGTGATGCCCGCACTGTTTAGCTTGCGCTGCTCAGCTTACGCCACTCTGCTTGCACCGCGTAGCTCACACCGAACTGTTGGCACCGCATGGGTCATCGCATAGCTCGCGCCGTGTATCTGGAACCACGTGACTTGCAGCACGCAGATTGCGCAACACAGCTCGCACACCCAGGGTGCAACAACTCACTGCGTGCGACCTGCGAAGGCAAGCGCTGTTGCATTCGAGACGGCAATTTCGCCACGGTCTGGCAATGGCGATGTATACTGGTACGTGTGTCCGCAGAGCGTATGACTCGAGCTTCCGCGCAGCACAGGCTTCAACGAGCAAGTGTACAGCGGGCATGTAAGTTGACAGGAGCAACGCCCTCGCAGCAAGGGCACTCTCCAAGGCCGCGTCAGGCTGCGGTCCTTCCAGAGAGTTTGTCTTCGATTGCATGCTGTACGTCTGATAAGCCATGATCGCGCGCTTGAGTGCAAGACGCTGTGCCTCCGCCGATGCACCGAGGCAGAGTCCGCGACGAGTGAGCAAGCATTCAGGGGCGGGTATGCGGATGCTTTGTACCATGCAAACAGCGTGCCATCGGTGAGAACAGTGAACATAGTGTGACATGGACTCAAGTGCGCCCGGGTCCTCGCACATGCGGCAGTCGAAGACGCGCAGACTGTCAGCGTTTTTCGCGCTGGTGTGGAGGCGACGGCTGGTCGCCCATCCACTCGCCCAGCTCTTGATCCGGGCAGACGGAGCGTCGGGCGGCAAAGACTCCTGGAACAGCACTCTGAGCGGCTCCCTTCCGATCTGATCAGTGGTTGCCTGCAGGGACCAGCAGCGCAAGCGAAACATGACGGTGGAGGGTAGGTGATCAGGAAGGAGCGAGGTGACAAAAACGCGCGCACGAATCTGCATGCGCAAACAAGCACTCGGGCGAGAGTGCAAAATATTCCACCAGCCATCTGGGTGACAGGTGGTCCAGCGAGGGTCTCCTTCCTCTTCCACGACCCCTCTTCCCTTCGGGGAGGGGGACCCTCGCCCTCCCCTCCCTGGGTTTTTGGAGGGGGCCCGATGTGCCAGAGGGTCCTTTTTTTCGGCCCCTGGGAGGGTCACTGTTTGACACCCCTCACGAGGATCGTGGCCCCCGAGCGGGAGAGCTACATTTAGGACCCCCCTCTTTTGACCGACCGCCTACATGATGGCCCCCAGATGCCCCCCCAAGGCTACCAAGAGGCCCCCAAGAGGGCTCCCAGAGCGCCCCAAGAGGCTCCAAGAGACCTCCAGGAGGCACCCGAGCGGCACCCAGGAGGCCCCCGAACGGTATGAGAGAGCCCAAGATGACCTCCAAGATGGCTCACGATAGCCTAAGCTGACTCAAGATGGCTCCCAAGATGCTCCAAGAGGCCCCACGACCGTTCCAAGACGGCTCGATATGGCCACAGAGCCCCCCAGGAGGCCGCCAAGAGGCCAACACGCCGTCCAGGCTGGCCTCCCTCGCTGTTTGACTATGCGTGTCTCTTTCTCTCACCCCCCGTCAGCTCTCATGGGCATCGTGTCTGGATGGGCTGGTGAGAATATTTTTTTTTGGTCGGCGGCTCCGAGGCAACGGACAGGGAGCGGAAGCGGCGTCCGGGTCATGGTACGGGGCTAATTGCAAGACAATTTGCTGCCAGCCGGAATCGGCGGACGCTGGTGAGGATACGCGATGCGTCAAGACTTTTTATTTGAACAAGCGAAATCAACAAAGGACGCAAATCATTTAGAGTTGCGCCACAGGCCGGCGCGGTGGCCTCTCGCCTGTCGTTCGCGGAGCCATCTGCTGCCTCCTCAAGCGTGAGCGCGATCGGCTTCGACCCCCACTGGGCGTGCGTGAGCGCGCCCAGGGCGCGGTCGCGGAAGGAGAGCCCCTTATTTTCAGCGGTGCGCAGGCGGCGCATCCACTAGGCCCAGTTCTTGATCGAGTCGCGCGGGCCCCGCATCAGGACGGCGCGATTGTTGAGCTCCAGAGGGACCACCTTCGAGGGCGACCACCGTCCGACAGCGGAAAGATCATCGCGAGGGGGTGCTTGATGTGAAAGGAACCAGATACAGTCATCGGCCTGACCTAAGGAACGAGGAATAGAGAACGAAGCTTTTTCTTATCCCCAGGAACAACACAGAAGGCACGATCAATAACAAATAACGCATAAGGAACTGTAAATAACGCACACAAGCCTGAGGAACGACCGAGCCCCTTTTGAAAGGTAAGTGCTCCTTATTCAAGCCACTCACTGTACGGTGGAACGCCCACGACTCCGTCTTCTTGATCTTCGGTGGCCAGTAGAAGAGCTGGCCGAGGTGCGAAGCATTGGCCGCCGCCCGGAGGTTGTAGATCATAAGGGGGCGTGCTCATGGGCGCACCCACGTCCGCGATCAGGTTGGTCGCAAGTTGCAGTTCCAGGAAGTTGTCCACACAGGGGCCCAGGAGCACGCCCAGGTACACCACCATGCTCGGGACGGTCATCGATGACAGGCGTGGCGGTAGCGGCTTGATCATTTTGCGGACGCGCAGCGTCACCAGGTCCACGAAGGACCCAGCGAGCGGGATGATCTTGCACTTCAGTGTTCTGGGCGCCAGCCTTGCGAGGCTCTCCGCAGCGTCGAAGACGCCACTCAGGGGTGTTAGCGTCTGCAGCGACGGCATCGCGCAGCCCGCGTCGTCCGCGCAGACGCGGTCACCGCGCCCATGCACGAGAGCGCGCGGCCGTGCATGTCTCGGATGAGAGGGCCCATTCCCGCAGCCTACAGGGAGCCAGGCCACGGGGACGCCTGCGGGACTTCAGAGGCGAGTGGGCAGAGCACCTCCACGCAGCCGCCAAGGTTGGTATACGCCACGGACAGCAGGTAGATCGCGTCGACCATGTTCCTGATGCCGTCGGGAAAACGGGCAATTTCCAGCGCCAACTTGAGCCAACCACGACGCATCGAGGGAAAAGCATCCCCCAAATCGTACAGGACCATGGAGGGATCCTTGGACTGCACGTCGTCCTGCATGGCCACGATGCGGGACTGCGCGTCCATCATGACCACGCGCTTAATGAAGCGGCGCTTCGGGAGGAAACCACTTTGCGCAGCATGAGCACCCTTCGCCACGACCGGCATCATCAGCACGTTGCCCAGGAAACGAATTTGCTGACATTGCGTTTGAGCGAGAGCGGGCGCGGCGCCTTCGCCAGTCTTGTCGCGTCTGGCTGTCCTCGGGTTTGGAGCCCTTCGGGGTTAAGATGATCGGGGAATCGTTGGAGTCGGGAGGTGCAACGTCGAGCACTACTTGGGCAGGTTTGGGCGTGCGCTTCCAGGCCAAGTAGGACATGCCTTCTGGGCCGAGGGCTGAGTTGTTCAGCTTATTGTGCCAGGGGTGGGCATGTCCATCTGGGAACAATCATATGCGGCCACGTGTGTTTGGGACGTAGCGACGAACGCGTTGCACATGACTGGGCTTGGCCTGAAAGACGGGGACCCATTGCCTGCTCAGCTCGGCCACCATCTCCGACAGGGGCTTGGTCTTGGAGTGATCGCACAAAACTTCAATGGCCTTGAGCTTGAGAACCTTCCCAATCGGCGCCCAGAGCTTGCCGCGCCTATGGATGGCCCTCTACATGTTGCGGAGCCGCTGCTTGACCATGTACGGGGTGTTCCTCGGTGTCATCTGTCGGATGAACGCTATAAACAATAATTATGTGGTGGAATATGTGTGGCAATCTATTTTTATATATATATATATAGATATAGATGCATGTATCTCTGTAGCGTGAGCAAGGTGGTGTAACCTGCGTGGTGTAAGGTCTGTGAAGCAAGCCATTCATCGTAAACACCGCAAGACAAGCAAGCCGCTCTATGTGCAATCGCTCCTTGGGGGTCCTGGAGGCCCCCAGATTATATTCGGCAAGCTGGGAGCACCTCTCGATCGACAGCCTCCGACGCCCCCTCGCCCCACCACCGAGCGATCCTTCCTCAGGTTGCTGAGCGGCAGGCCGAAGAAGAACAGTGAGTGCAGGGCGGTGGCGCGGTGCTGCCGCCTGATGCACACCATCTGCGGGATGGGCCGACGTCGTCGGCGCCGTCGCCGCAGCGGGCGCGGGCTGGCCGACGGCGCGGTGCGGCGCAGTGGTCAACGGCCGCCTCCCTGGCGGCCCCGGGTGGCCACACCCTGGAGCGTGAGGGCCTGTTCTTGGCGCGCTCGAGAGGGAGACAGCGCGAACGGGGACGATGCTCGACGGCAAATGCCGCCCCAGACCACCTCGGTCCGCAGCGGGGCAGGCGACGCGTGCACCAACCGTACCATGTCCGCGGCGACACCGATAGCGAATCGAGGTCAAAGTGGCTCTGTCGCCTCGTCGTCGTCGTCGTCGTCGTCGTCGTCGTCGTCGTCGTCGAGCGTCGTCGTCGTCGTCGTCGAGCGTCGTCTCTCCGAGGCGTGGCCGACGGCGCAGGACGGCACGGCGCAGAGCTGGCGGCCCACTCCACCGCTTCCTTGCGTGGGACGCACCCAGATCCTAGTGTGCGAGAGGAGGAGGAAGAGGCAAGAGAGTATTTCTTTATTGCTTTGGGCATAAGAAGCATTTTGGTCACCGCCTCCCCTTATGACGTAACGCCCCACCCCCCCAGAGCGCCATGGGCACTGCCGCCGCGCGCATCGGAATCCGCATAGGAATACGCAAAAGGGTCTGGTCCGCAGTCGTGGTCGTCGTCGCCGTCGTCGTCGTCGTCGTCATTGTCGTCGTCGTCGTTGTCGTCGCTCGTCGCTCATCGTCGTCGTGCGCGCGGACGCGGCTGGAGCATGTTCTTTTTACCCCTGGCAGATGACGGCCGTCATCTGGGGTGGGTGGGGGACGGGGCCGAGGACGTCACATTTCGCGCCAGCGGCGTCTGGGAATGCCTGGGAATGACCGAGGACGGGTAGCAGCAACATGTAGGTGGCGATCCGCACCACAGCGCCTGTGTACACCACAGTGCCTGCGTGCACCAGAGCGCCTGTGAACACCACACAGCCCATGAACACCACGGCAGCCGCGCGCAACACAACGCCAGCGTGTGCCACAGTGTCTGCGGGCACCACAACGTTTGTGTACACCTCTGCGCCTGCGTACGCCACATCAGCCGTGTGCAACACAGCACCAATGTACACCACAATGCCTGCGTGCACCACAGTGCCTGTGTACACTACGGCGCCTGTGTACACCACAGCAGCCGTGCGCAATAGAGCACACCTGTTGCAGATAGAACTTTAGAAGGAATCCTTATGACAAAATGGAACGCCTGTGGATTTCACAGAAAACAAATGCTTGATGTAGGATTTGAAAATGAATCACCATGGGAAAAAAGCGCCGCTGGAAGCTACGAGCCATCCCGCATCATCCTAACTCCTCACATAAGCGTCCAGGAGGCTACAGCAGAAGTGGTAATCCGAGAACCAAGTGGACTGATTCAGTATACCATTGTGCGGTGCGCACTGAGATAAGCACGTGCGCTGTAGCGTCGACCCGCACGACAGGTGGGAAGGGTGAGGGAGGAGGAGGTGGAGGAGGAGGAGGCGGCGGAGGAGGAGGAGGAGGAGGAGGAGGAGAGGAAAAGGAGGAGGAGGGGTTGGAGGAGGAGGATCAGCACGTGGTTGGGGGACGGAAGGTCTATCCGCCCTATTGCCTGTCATCTCGCTGTTGGGGTGAGGCTGCTACTCTGGCTGCTTCTGCGGCTATAAAATCTCTGAGCTTGACAGGAGGGCTCTGAAAACAAGTTGGGTCCCTGAAAGATGACTTGGGGTGTTTCCCAGCGCACAGCAGTCGCCACTGGGTCCTATCACCGTCCCTCCTGAAGCCTTGGCAGCCCTCTTTGAGCTTCTTGACATTCGATTCACTGTACTTGCCGCAGCCAGAGCACATCATGATGAAGTTCAAACTTCTTTCTTGTCGGGCAACATAAAATGTGTGGCCCTGGGGATTCTCAGCTATCTGAGACATCTGTAAATGATAGCTTCGACATGGCTCATCTTTGCGAGTCTGATTAATTCTGTCAGAGCATCGGGCCTTGCATGTCGAGCACAGCCACTTGTTGGATCTGCTATTCCACTCCCAAGAGTGGCCAGACATTTGGGGCCGCGGGACCACAGGAGCTGGCGGAGGAGGAGCCTCGCCAGTCCACACAACCCGAGCACTGGCTGCACCCGCCACTATGGGCTGGACAACCGCCTTGTCCCGAGAGGAAAACTTCTTCTTGCTGACTTTAGGTCCAACTGGCTCCCACAAACTTAAAGCACAAGCAACGTAACGCAACCACTTGGCCAGCAAGGATCTGTCCATGGTGGCCTCCTCAAGCTCATTGGCCGAGGGACGTTGCAACATCTGGGCTCCTAGCTTAGCAAACTTGTCGGCGAAATCGTTGCCAGTGGCTCTCAGACACTCGTCGGTCCCTTCGGTGAGACTTCAAGGGCTCTGGTGAGCCTTTATTTTGTCCAGAGTGATTCCACGGTGCCAGTTGGCCGAACCTTGGGCCAGCAGAGCAACTCCTGCGTATTTATGCTTCCTACTGCGGAACTCACTGTACACATCAATTACTCCTTGATAATCCGTGATTATCTTGTCAATGACATGGGGAGAAGAGGAAGGGGACCGCAGCAAGCACAGCAAGGTGCTCAGCAGAGGGGGAAGATTGGGGAAGGTTGCGGCCTACAGGGCCGTATACTGCAGCCGTCACATCACCCTCGGAGTCGGGCGCGATGGCTGCATATCCTGCTACATGGAAATCCTTGGGGCCCTGCTTTAAACAAGACCCGTCAGTGTATATATATATATATATATTGCCAACTAGAGACCCAGAGATGGGGACATTGTCTCTAGTCCAGACAACCTGCTGCTGCAAGCCAAGGCCCTCGGGAGCTCCCGTGGACCAGTCCAAACCTTCCAGAAAACCAGCCTGGATCGGGAATTTACCTGGGTCCTTGGGGACCTGGGCCCCTGCGTCACTAAACTATTAATCTCTGAGGGGCGCTGTGCATGGGGCAACTTGCGAGTCTATGATGAAGATCGTCAGATGGGTGTCCACATGGGCATTCTGTTTCAGCTGGGCGGCCTGCTTTTTTCAAACTCGATGGGTCCAAATGCACTGGGTCAGGAAAGCCAGGAGAGTGGTTTTCTCGGTCTGATTGAGCCCTGGATCATGTAACATCTTCCTTGCCGTGGACGTGTCGAGCGAGCCTTGGGGTCCTAGCTTCTTCGCGGCCTGGACATGCAGCTGCTCGTCCCAAGCCTGCTTCATCCACGTCTGGAGCATGCAGGGAGAGGTGGAGGTAAGTACGTGGGTCCTCTGGTACTGATCTACCAACGTGAAGGGCGAGGAGAACTGCCAACCCAATCTCTGTGCACTGAGTATTGCTGCTCCAAACGGGCCTCGACACTCGCGCCGCGTCCGTGGTGGTGCTTCGAGCGCTGCCGCAGCTCGCGCGCGAAGTTGGGGCAAACCGTAGCCTGGGGAATGCTGGCCTATCATGGCGCGCCACACCAGCTGCGACCATATGATGATGGGGCCAACTCCTGGTCTCCAACAAGGGTCGCCAAGTAAGCACAGAGCCAACGTACTAGAACGCGTTGAAGTACCTGGACCTGCTGTCTGAAGATAAAGTTTACGAGCTGCTTTTAGGTCTTTATCATCTAGGCCTACCACTTCCGCCCCGTAGAATTGGGCTTGCCCGAAGCCCGTGTTGCACAGCCTGAGGGTATTAGCTCCAGCTCGTTTTACAGCTCTAATTCGATAAAGGCGGCCTTTCAGTTGCTTATGACGATCTCGTAACTTAGCACTGGTAGTACCTCTACCTCGTTTTTGCCCAGCCCGAACATCTACACCTAGATTGGCCGCATGATGAGGGACCGATCCAGAGTATCTCCCGAGTGCGTTTGCTAAGCTCTTTTGCATGTCGAACGCCGAGGCTAGCACAACAGACTTGTTGATGGCAATGAAACGCTCCAGCTCGTACTGGATGGCACACAAAAGACTGGCTGCTGCACGCTTCAATTCGGCGACTATAGTCTTCTTGCACCTGTGGGAGAAGAGGAGGGGGAGGTCATCAATGAAGGTGTGGAGGGATACTTCAACATTACTGGTCCAAATGTCTGAAGCCTCGATGCAGTGCAAACGCACAAGGTAGGTCGCGAACCTGCAGCCTGCTGGGACCCCTTTGGTGGGGTAGCCTGCATATGATGTTTGATTATTCAGAGTAATCATTCGTTGACCTTGATAGTGATTAAGTATAACAGCCAACATAGCCCCATTAAAACCAGTATGTAGAGCACGTCGGTGTAGTTTATCTCTATTACCATGTTCGTAATAATTGGTCAGGTCCCACATGATGGAGGCGGAGTGCAGCTCTTGTTCTTGAACTGCTCAGCTCTATGCCTGCAAAGGTTGTTGGTACACCAACTCCAAGATGGATCTACCAGCTTGGTGCGCCAAGAACTCACGCCTATTGCTCTGCTCCCAGCTTCTTGCTTCACCTTGCCGAATTCTGCCCCAAACGCGATAGACAGCTGGCATGGGCCCAATGCCCCGATAAGACGGACCGCCCCCTGAAGGTTTGTGTTTCGGGATAAGAGCTGATATCGCTGCAAGAAGCTGAGGGGGCATGCTACCGACGCGATCCACGCGCATGAGGAGCCTGCAAAAACAAACCTTCTGCTGATCAACCGTCAGCAGCCTGAAGTGACGCGGGTGGATGCCGCCCCGCGTCTCCGCCGTGGAGTGGCTAAACTTGCGCAAGGCCCTCTTGGGCATGCTGGGGGTGATCTCGGGGAGCCTGAGGGCAGCTTGAGGATCTCCAGGGACCTTTGGGCGCTTGACCTGGCTCGTCCCCCAAATCTTCGTAAGCCTTCTGACCTCTGAGTAGAGCAGCTCCGTGGGGCTCCCCGAGAAGCCCCCTCTGGCCGTCATGGTTCTGGTTGGCTTCCAGGCTTGGACATTCTTGGTCCATCGGTGGGCCCACCCGACTCCAGAGGTCATTTTGTTAGAAACCCATTGCTCCCAAGACTGAGCAGCTCCCAAAGACTC